GCTTTGCCTTCACAGGAATAAATGACATTTTAAATTATATTAAAACAGCAGTTCTTTTAAATTGTAATATTTAATAATATTTGTGTTTTTACTGTATTATTGAACAAATAAATGCAGTCTTGATGAGCATAAGAGACTTCTTTTTAAATATTAAAAAAGTCTTACTGACCCCAAACTTTTCAACGGTAATGCACCTATGAAAAAAGATGATTAGAGTTGTAGTTCAGTACCTGACATGGCAGTAGGCCAGAGCCCAGCCGTCCTCCAGCAGCAGTCTCTTCTCAGTACTGAAGGCCATATTGAGATCAACACCATAAGCTCCATATACATGCAGGAGCAGTAGAGCCTTATGCAGCTCAGATAATGCTGGCATGCGGAGGAGAGTCAAAGACACCATTGTACCATCCTAAAAACACAGGCATTGGGCTGCTTTTTGTACCACTGTACCTTTAAGACTTCTCACATATAAATGACTCATACCTGACTGGCTGCCTGCAGGCGTGTCGTGTTAAACTCAGTGAGGGAGATGTACTCGGTGTTGTCCTCTGTTACGGAGAGCTTTTATTCTCTGGAGGAATAGAGGTAGCGTACAGGTGGGTGCACTGGGGAGGACAGGAGGAAAGCAAATGACCCTCTGTCCACAGTTCCAACACGCTGCGGCGATAAATCACAGGCCCAGTGAGGAAGCTAAGAGCAAAACAGAAACATTAATGGAGTCTACAGCCCAAGGTCCTTTTAATATATCAAAGAGATTTACTGAACGTGAAGTTTCAGGTTGATACTTCATGGCATTTTCATGGCGAGAAATGAATAAAAGCAACATCTAAACTTGACAACATGAATAAAATACCTTCTAAGAAAAAGACCGCAAAAAGAAACTATATCATATAACTAACTAAAAGTGCATGCTTACTTTATAGTAAAGGTTTCAAGGTTCAATGATGATATTCTAGGTCTTTCAAAATCTATGCTGTATTTCAAATTAATAACGGGTTCATTTCAAAATGAATATTATTATGCACTACAATTCAAAAATGTAGGGTCTGTAAGATTTTATAAAGTTTTTGAAAGAAGTCACTTGTGCTCACCAAGGCTGCATTTAGTTGATAATAAATACAGTAAAACAAGTAATATTGTGAAATATTACAAAATAAAGTAACTTGTCTATTTTCATATATTATAAAATGTAATGAATTCCTGGTAATTGCAAAGCTGAATTTTCAGCTTTATTAAGCATGCAGTCATCAGTGTCACATGATCTTTCAGAAATCATTCTGATATGCTCATTTGGTGTTCAAGAAATATTTCTTATCATTATCAATGTTGAAAACAGCTGTGCTGCTTAATATTTTCCAAATTCATTGATAAATAGAAAGTTTAAAAGAACAGCATTTATTTAAAACATAAATCTTTTGTAACAGTATTACTGTCTTTACAGTCACTTTCAATCAATTCAAAACTTCCTTGCTGAAAGTAATGGAAAAAACTGAACTTACTAACCCCAAAATTTTGAATGGTAATGGTAATGTAATCTAGGACCCCATACGAACAAATGTATCAATTAAAATGTCATATATCCAGTAAAACACACCTAAAATCTCTTTAACTCAGCATCATTAAAAACACACACTAGGCTGTTTTGTATGTGAATTTGTGATTCTTCTTCACACCTGGTGAGTGTTTAACTGATAGGGCTCTTGTGTGGTAAGAGTCTGGATCTGAAGTCGACACTGTGAATCTTTCACTGTGAACACACAGCGATCCTGAAGCAGCTCCATATCTTTAATGACTGTTCCAGGAACAGCACTGAACAATGGCACCCAGTGTGGCATTGATGGCGAGGCTAAAGGTGCCCTAAGCAGCTTGAGATTAGAGAAAGAAAAAAACGTCACACATAAACACAGTTATAATTTAGTTCTGAACAATACTGCTCAAGTCTGATACTGATACTCTTACCTGATACTCCTGGTTTGCTCCAGTGTTAGCAAGGATGAACAAGTAGTTGTCCGAGTGCTCTACGTGGTAAAGCAGTCCAGGCTGACGGGACTGGATGAGGGTGGGGAATGAGAATGGAGTCTTGCTGTCAAAAAAACACACCCCTGAACTGATCTTACTGCTACAGTTAATGGTTACCAGCCTCTGGTCTCTGGAACGACTGACCTCCACAAAGAACCTGAGGAACAGGCATAAGACCACATCAATGCTAGCCAAAAGCACCCTTCACCAACAATTAGACACTTAATCTGGATCCTTTTCTTCATAAACAAGGCTGGTTTGGACACCAGAATCACTGAGATGAAGACGGAAAACACATAGGCACCGAAGAGTCTCCTGTGTGCTGTAGTAGAGGACATCATCTGTGGCCCATTCTGCACAGAGAGAGGACATTTGAGGAGGAAAAGAATGTTTCTTTGTCAAGAAAGTTTCAATTATAGTAGATCTTACCAAAGCTGAGCACATTGTCTAAAAGCAACAGGGCCTTTTGACAAAGGATGACACCACCTAAATGAACCAACACACATCCGGTCTCCTCGTGATGGTCTTTCTTTACAGTGACGGCCAGCATGGTCTCTGTAGGAGAGAGTCTGACCCTCTGGATGGTTCCATATCCATCTCCTCCCCAATCGGCATTGAACACCTCCAACATCTCCTGCTCATCTGTATGCAAACATTGCTTTGTTTCTAGTTGGAACTTAATAAAATGTGTTTACATTGATTTCTTTTAAGTATCTTTTACCGTGTCCCAGGGTCGATCTGTAAATCCCTTTGCCATCTTCCAAGTATACATGATGCTGTTCCTGGAACTTGAGAAGATGTTGAGGGAATGTTGAGATTTATCATTTGTAAAATTATATAATTTACACACTTTGCACCACTTCAGTTGCTTACCTCTGAATTTTCTGGTACAATTGCAAACTTCCTATGAACCGAATGCAATCTTCTTTTAAAACGCTGCTCTTGATCTCTGAGTTTCTGTAGTTGGGCTTTAGACAGCTCCACTGTAGTCCAATGTATGCAATTGTGTGTGTGTGTATATGTATGTATGTATATAATTAACAATTACATTTTAATTTAATAATTACATCCCTTGTATACAGTCATATATTTCTAACCCTAATTTCTTGATCTCGATTAAAAAATGTTATGCTATTAACTACACATTAATATTGCGGGTATGTTGGCTACTTCTGCATTTTTAAATATCTTCGAATACATGCTTTAACATCTGCTATGTCATCTGACTTCGTAATGATGCAGTCAGACATCATTTATTCCCAATTTGCATTCGGATTCACAGTCTGCAGTTAGTTTTGTCCTTTCCTTGTCTGCATTCGCACTATTGTAAGTAATATATCTTTCATTGCGGTTTGTTTTAAATACAAAGGACAACAGTACATGGAACGAAAACATAACCGTGTAGAGTAAGTCGATCCTACCTCAGTGTAAAGACGCGAGATAAATGGGTGTATGTTCCTCCGATGTATATTGCGTGAAAATGATCGCAAAAGCAGCAGACATGAGGAACTGATCAGATTCATTTAATGCAGCAATTTGTCACTGTCTAATTAGTGTTTGATTATGAATAATCGGCGTATTACTGCTTCCTTAAAAGTCATATACAGTGCACTGAGATTCTGCGTAAGTATCACATTCACAATACTTGAACTTTCCTGCTGCGCGTGTGCTGCTCTGTGTAGAACAATGGTGCTTTGACATTTACACTAGCGATGTCCGTTCTTTTGATTCGAATCTTTTAAATTAACCGGTTGAATCGGTTCACAAAACCTGTCTGAAAGATTCATTTAGCAATCAGACTGAATCAGTCCGAACGGTTGTAGAATCAACCATAGACGTAATAAATGCATTATTCATTTATTATGTCTGTGTATTTAATTTATTTATTATTTATTATGTCTATGGAATCAACAACTCTGACATGAACCGAAAACCGACTCTTTTGGACATGTTCAACTGAAAACGAACCAAGAACATATTAGTGAACTGAATTAGCTGAAATTTTTTTTTTTTTATTGTTTAATGTGAAGTGCAATTGATATTTAGTTTCTAAATTGCTAATTTATGAGCTGAATGGCTGCAGCAATCTCAGCCGGAACACATAAATGTAAAATAAACACCGCTATTCCAGAATATGCTCATTAATGTTGCTGTATTTCAAAACTTTTTTTTTTTTTAAATTGCTTGAAGAACATAAATACCAAATAAATAACAGTAAGAAAAATCTTAATACAATTCAAAGAAGTCCAAATAGCAGCATAACAAAAAATAGATAAACAAAATAAACATGACAGGAAAAGTAAGGAAGAAAAACAAATAAATACAGGAAAAGAAAAGGAAAAGACCCTACAATACAAGGGGCTTAATCATCAAAAAATACCTCCAAAAGATGACATAGTTTAAGGGCTTTTTTATGACGCATGAGCTTTAAAGATTTGAAGAAGACCATTAAATCTTTCTGGAAAAGTAATAAAGTGGGGTTATTAAAGAATCTGCATTTATGAATGAAGTAATTGGCCAAAATCACAATATTATTAACCAAAAATTCAACATCACAATTCCGACAAAAGGACAAATATTTTACAGTTTTTAAATCAAAGTCAGGTATTACATAGGCTACTTCAAACTTAAGCAAGCATAGAGGTCATCCCATAATTTTTTAGAGAATTTGCATAAATAAAACAAATGTTCCAATGACTCTATGTCTGCTTCACAAAAGGTGCATCCATTACAGTATTTCAAAACTAATATGCTACGAAAAAAGCTTTTTGAATCTGTTATTTGAAACGAACTGTTCAAAAGAACCGATTCGCGGAAATGAGTCAGAATCCTCATCACTAATGGCGCTAACATATGACATCTGGTCCAGGCAAGAGTAATCGAATCAACAATCATAGATGATAGCCGATAGAGCGGAGTGTTCGATGACTATGGTAGTGAATTGGATTTCCTTTCCTCCTGCAACAAGAGGAGGTGGTGTACGGAAGTAGCATGGGATTTTATTACTAAGCAACAGAGACCAGCGCATACCGGCGAATTGGTAAAAACGGTAGTAAACTGTACCATCGACTTTAACCACATTCAGAGAACATATGCCAAATAAGCCTTCGCTTAGACTCTGCATTCCGTTGTCGTTATACTGTGATAAGTTATTTTCCGCTTGAGATAGGATCAGATCGAGCAGGTTGCTCTGTCATGAATACATTTAAAGATCCCCCGTTTGCTGCGACAGAAATGCATGCGAACAATCTCCAAAATCACGACTCTCACTGTGGAACCGATGTGGCCCGTGCACGCTGGGCTCTTCTGCGACAGGTGAGGGGCGTTTAGTGAATCTCCTTCAATATGCAGCTGATTGCATGTGTTTGGTTCAATACGCGTAAATGTAATGCGTTTTTCACGTTAGACATATGGATGTGTCTCAGTAGTAGCATTTTATGCATCTCTCACAATACAGGTTCTGAAACAGAAGCAGCTCGACAGTTCA